TCTCAGGAAACCACCACAAAACACTGGGATGAAGTTACTTTTCACTCAGCTGCCAAAGGGTTTAACCACAGCCAGTGGCACCCAAACCTGAGCAAGGCAAAGCCACCAATGGGGAGCTGCAGCTGGAGTTGTTCTCTATCACCTGCACAGCCCCTGCTTCCCTCTCCAAGGCAGCACCCATCCCTCCCTCCATCCTTCCACCCACGCCTGGTGTGGTGCTTTGAGATGAGCAAAGCATGTGGAGAGCACCAAGGGCATCCAAAAAGATTCTCCTGCAGAGTAAGAGCCTCAGTGCTGCACAGGCGGATTTATTTGGGGTTTTGCCACCACAGAATCCCAGAATGGTCAGGTTGGAAGGCACAAATTTCCTGCTCCAGCAGTGTCATCCCACAGCACATGGCACAGGATTGTGTGCAGACAGCTCTGGGATATCTCCAGTGAAGGGAGGCTCCACACCCCCCTCTGGACAATCTGTTCCAGCTCTCACCTGCACAGGGAAGAAATTCTTCCTCAGGTTCAGGTGGAGCTTCGTGGGGTCAGTTCCTGCTCCTTCCACTTGTGCCATTGCTGGGTCCCTGCAGACAGGGACAGCCAGGGATGAGGTCCCCTCTCAGCATCTCCTCTCCAGGCTGAACAGCCCCAGCTCCCTCAGCCTTTCCTTGTCAGAGATGCTCCGGTCCTTCCTCCTCTTTGTCCCCTTGCTCTGGCCCTGATCCAGGAGCTCTTCTTGTCCTGAGGAGCCCAGAACTGGACACAGCTGTCCAGATGTGCCTCACAGGGCTGAGCAGAGGAATGAGGACTTTGCATCTCCCTGCTTACCCTGGCACTGCCTCCTCCACAGCCCTTGGTGCCAAAAGAAACCTGCAGGGAGACAAGGGAGAGCAGGACTGGGCTCAGAGCAGCCTCAGAGTGTTTTTATAGGGAATACAGAGCTCTCCTGGGGCACGGCTCACCCTCAGGAGGAGAAACCAGCTTAGTCACAGAGCTCTGGAGAAGGGCAGCCTCAGCAGGGGAACGGGGCCTCTCCGCCTGGAAACACGCCCGGCACGAGAGGAGCTTTCTCCACTTTCCCAGCTCATGGGGGAGGAGGAAGGAAAGGATCTTGTTCTCCACAGGGAAAGGGATCCATGGGTATCCTTGCACAGCACAGGGGTGCAGCTCCATCTGGATCTCACGCTGTAGGATGTGGCACAGCCATCCTTGGTCTCTGCAGGTGGAGATTTGGGTCCCTGGTGTCCCCTGCAGCCACTCCACCCTTCCCAACACCTTTTGCTGAGTGCAGAGTTTTATGAAGCCCTTCAGGGTCAGACTCACACCACAGCCCAGGCAGACACCCCCTGAGCAGCACCTTTGTGGCTTTGCCTCACAACATGAAAGAAATCTGCAAGTGCTTCAAAAAAAAAGCAATTTCCCTCCTTTTTAAACACTGGTGGAGGCTATACACATCCACAAGAAGCAGCAGTGAATGACTCCATCCCTTCACACACTCTCACAGGAAATTAAAGACCTGTTATTAGCAGCAAATACAGGAGAGTGATGCCTGCAGGTCCATCCACCCATGGATGATCCATGGTGCTTAAAAACACCACACACAAGTCAAAAGGAGTACCAACATTAGCCAAAGATCCCTTGCTCAGCTGGAAAACCTCATCCTCTTGGTCCAGACCCACCCGAAACTGGGAGGATTTTCCCCTGGCACTCAGGGAGAAGCTCCACATTCCCAATTTCCCAAGCCAGCACAGCCCCAGAGTGTGAGGAGAGCGTGGCACCTACCGGTTTGGGGCAGTGGATGTATCTCGCCAGGCTGATGATCAGATCGTGGGTGATGGGATCCACCAGGTTTCGGAAGCTGGCGTAACGATAGAGAACATCATCCAGAGAGGTCGACTCCATCCCTAAATCCTGCAGGAAATGGAGAAAAGGAGCGAGATTAGGTGGGATATAAAAGCCAGTGGTTCTTAAAGTCAGGCCTCACTGGTGGAGGAGCCAAGGAGGAAATGATCCCCAGCATCTCCCACTGTTGTTGGAGAGATTTTGGTTTTCCAGCAGTTTGGGTGACAAAGAGAAGGAAGGGACACCTT